TTGGTCATGGGGGCTCTGTTTTGCATATCCATTAGTAAAACCTATCAGGTTGACAGGCACAAGAGACAGCTTTTTTTGTAACTGCTCCATCTTTTTTAGAATAACCTTCCATGAATCAGACACCTGGTTCTCTCCTGATTGCTTCTAAATGGGCCATAAAGACCTGGAAGTTTCAATCAGGTTTTAAGTGATACTGACCCATATTCCATATTTTATATTTTATAGTGGTAACCTGACACATGCTTGTGTTTGGGGTGACATTTCAATGCTACATTAAAAATGACTTTATTTTATCTTTAAGAATCTTTTAAAATTGTGTACAGCGTTTTAAATATAATCCACATAATTTATGTATATTAATCGATTTATGTGGATTAAATACACGAAGTGGTCCTGATACTTTAAGGTATTAGGGAACAGGGCTCTTTTCAGCATGATACAAGCTCAAATAAAGATTTACTTATGTGCCTATGATTTGGACCTCAGGAAACAATACCAAATGTCAAATGATAGCACTTGCTACAGGAAATCTCTCATGAGGGGTGTTTGTTCTTGCTACCAGCTGGGCTATTGCACACCCTTTCATCTTACTCAGTGTCAGAACATGCCTTTGTAGTCCCCTATCTCACTGAGCATCTAGTTCTGAAACTCTAGTGAAAGGCTATAAGGGCCTCTGTAGGCTGACGGCTAATTCTATTTATACATTTAGTATGTCATGGCAATCCACTGGGGCATTGGAACAAAAGCAGTTTCTGCCATGCGGAGAAGGCATAGCATCAGTCTTATTGTTTAGAGAATTATATAAATATAAGGAATATATTTGTTCTTGTACTTTAATTAAACAAGATTTGTATCACTATTTTCCATGTGTGTGACACTCCCCTCCCCCCAAATGCTGGCATCTCTTATTGCCTAGCAAGTTATCTATATAGAAAAGTTAAGGAGATTTTTATATCTGGTAATGACAGCCTTGGCCAACCTGATGCTCTCTGGTTATGTTGGATTCTCATCACCTGTGAGCGTTGTCCAGTCTGGGTTGGGTGATGAAAGCTGAAATCTAAAACAGCCAGAGAGTGCCAGGTTGAGGAAGCCTGGACTATGGGACAGAAAGGAACTAAACATTTTAATCCTCAACTAATTTATCATCTTACCCATTGTTCTTGAAAGACTAAGGGCCAAACAGGATGACTCATGGCATGCATTTAATATTTTATGTACATTTTTTAAAAGTTGAAGACCAGCTGCACATTCTCTCAATGGCTGTACTCCAAGGTAAAGTCATCCTGAAGCTGCTTTTTGCCCCATGGAGGAAGCCTTAACTGACACAAAGAATTATGCCTTCTAGGCATGAACAACAGCTTTATAGTAGGGAGTTTTCATCTGGAACATGGTGTGGTGGGAAAGTACCTCTCATCAAAGATTACGGAACAATACAACAAAATACAAAAATACAATTCAGTTTAGTCATTAGGAATAAATATATAAATACATGTCAGAACTAAATAGAAACAAGAACATAAAATGCACTCATTGATTTCACACATCAAGGCTGCCCCTGAGATGGAGTGAAACTTGGAGGGAAGAGGGAAGCAGAGATTTTTTTAAAGGCATGTCTGCACTAATCGTTTGACATTGGTTGGTTCAGTGGTGGATGGTGCCCAAAATCTGACTGGGTTTGTGTGCTCTACCCTCAAGGTTCTTCCACTGTTCCATTCGTAGCTTCTGTTTCCCATTTTTTACACCACCCATTCCTTTTTCAATTCCTGTGTTGTTAAACCCATCCTCCTCTGAGTTTGGTTGCATTAAAACCATTGTGTTGAGCAGACTTGTAAGCCAAATCCAGCCTCGCTGGAATTCTAGTCCAGTCACATCCCTCCTGGATCATGCTGATTTTCCAGCTTTTGCACATTTCCCCCTTACCCCATTCAGAAAGACTGAGATGTTTCTTTCATAAGATTCCGATTCTGTCAGTAAGAGCTTTAAGCTAAAATAGGATGGTATTCCCCCCCCCCACATTAGAATGTAGCCCCCAGGAACCGCTCAAGGATCCAGTTTGGCCCTTGGGCTGACAGAAGTTTGAGAACCCTGCATTTAAATGACCTTTAACCACAAAGAAGTTGTATGTAGTGGCTTAGAATGGCAAGTGAAAGATAGAGGGGCTGCCTTAAAGTGAATCATGTAAGCATTTCAATTTCTATGATTTCATTGTTACGCCTTGCCTCAAAATTTATTTTATGTACATGTTTGAAATAAATACTTGTATGTGTTACATCAGATATCAGTCCACTGCAGCCATGGCAGGATGTCATATACGCCATGCTTCTACTTACCTATAGCCCAGCATATGAATTACACTAAATTGCTCATCATGTATTTACACTGGATGAATGGTCTTTGAGAAACATTTTCAGTCTGTTAAAATGTTGGCTAAGAGTTCCTTGTTCTTCTATTTGCATTTTTATTTGACCTCTTACCATGCTTATATTCTCCTTATTAGAATTTGGCTGAGATGAAGGAAAACACAGGGACCCCTCTGTATTTATTTTTAGGCTTTTTGTACCACTTATCATGTGAGAAAAGTTCCCAGAGTGGCGTACAAAGATCAGATACAAGACAGTCTGTAAGAGAGAAAACAAAAGACAAATAAATTGTGAGGGAAAGGAAGAAAAACAACTAACCACTTGTTCTTAGTTACAAGTTGATACCACCCTATGCAGTTCAATCCCATGCATGTTTATGAGGAAGTAAGGCCCAATATGTTCAGTGGGGCTTATTCCCAGGCATGTGTGTTTTAGGATTGAAGCCTTAGATTTGGCTCTTCAGAATTTCCACTTCTTTTTCCATTACATCATGAAAGGAAGAGTTTTTGCACTCTCTGTTATACCACATAGAGTAGTGGAAAGTCTGCCACAATAGCTTTGGTGATGTGAGATGACATAGAAGGAGGAAGAATACTATTGGTTAAGACTATAGAAGCAGGCATATATGCACAACTAATGCACAATCCCCATACGTACACAATTGAACTTTGTGAGAAATTATGCCAGAAACAGTGGGTGGAACCACATGCAATTATTAACATTTTAAGCCTACCCAGAAATAAGCAAGACAAGGCTTCTGTGTATCTCCTCAGAAGTAACCAGATATTAATTACTCAGCAGCACTTTCATACAGCATCCTAGATATCAAGACACTACAGGTGTATCCACAAGTAACCGAGTCTCCTGCTTGAAAAAACACTTTTCAGTTTTATGGCAGCATCTGTCCTGACTCTAACTCAGAATCTTTGCAACAACTTGATTTTTTGCAGGTTATGTGAAGTTACTTAGATGTTAATAGAGCATTAGAGATAACAGCAAAAGGACCTTGAATTAGAATACAGAAATGTGGGCAGTGGGGGTGGGGCAGCACATTTGGCTCCTGCTGAGATTTTTATGTATAGGAAGGGATAGAAAAGTTATGCCTTCTGTACAGGTCACTGTTACTGCCTCAATTATGTGCTTAATAATTTTTAATATTCAAAATACCCTTTTTGTCCCAGCATTTCAACTGGTGATCACAAGACTAACAAATCCATGATTTGATCAGCCAAATATGACAGAATTCTAAGATCTTCATAGTGATGGAAAGCTTACTAGCTTGATTCATTGAGTTATTATTATAATATTATAATTATTATCTTATTATATCAAGATAATAGATATTTCATGAAATAAGATGCTACATCCTTCACCCATGTGAGGTTGCTCATAGCATGGAGGATAGCAAAGCAAGGACAATACTGATACTGCTCCAGGTTATGTTTATATGGCAAATTCAGAACATGCATCAAACAGTGCAATTGCTTTTCTCAAACTATTCAGAAAATTACAAGGGGAATGACTGAGCTGGTGTTTTCTTCAATATACTGCAGTACACACAGACTGGGCTTCCCTATGGTTCTGCCCCATGTATCAGCTCAGAAGCAAGAATGATGACTTTGTGGAGTCATGAATGGGCTCATGACACTTGACAGTTTTTCTAGTGGACCATGATAGTGTAGCTTTGATAGGCTGCTCAGTACAACTGTTTGCATACTAGAACAGTCTTGTAGTTGACAGCAGCCCCCACTGATGCCAAATTCTTCAACCAGAAACAAGTGCCTAAATTGCTTATATTATTCATAATGTTCTAAAATAGCAGTCAAAAGTTATTCAAAATTGTGTTTCTGTAGAAGTAGAAATGGTATTAGAAATGATCAAAATAGTGCATAACTAAGACACACAAGAACACTACTGTAGCTTAGGTTATGTCCTAGGTACATAAGCTGCCTTTCTATTGGTACCAAATCAGTCTAGCTCAGTTTTGTGTACACTGGGGTAGGCAGAAGGTAGATGTCCTGATTTCTTGGACTTCAACTCCCAGAAGCTCCAGCTAGCATGGGCAATGGACAATAATGTTGGAAGTGGAAGACCAAAGTATCTGGAGGTCTACTTCCCGTCCACCCTAGTTAACCAGCAGCATCATACCAGGGTTTCAGACCAGGAATTTTTCCAGGCCTGCCTTGCAAATGCAGGGAATGAGTGTGAGACCAAAGCACGTGCCATTTTCCCAACATTAGATTAATGCAGCAGTAGAGGAGAATGAAGAATTGGAAAATGATGAGCAGCAGGTAGTGAAGAGGCATTGGGATTAGTCTCCATGAGGAGAGAGACGAAATGTGAGAAGTGGAAAAAGATAAGGAGAGTTATCTTATGGTCTCTGCAGATGTAGCCTTTTCATAGTTAAAGGAACTAGAAAGTGGCTTTCTAAAAACTTGTTAACTGCTCAGAAAACCTCTGCTGTTGGGCAGTATAAAAATGAAACAAAGTAATTAATGTACCTTGGGAGTTACAGGATTCTGGTGGATCAAGTGGGTGACAACATGGACCTGTTTACACTTTGATTCTAATTCTACACTAGGTTCTGAAAATGATTTTAATCTTACTATATATGTTTTATTACTTTTAATATTTATATAGATTTATCATCCAAGACTCACAACCAGCCAGAAACACATTCCAATCAGCCATGGGCATGGAGGATTTCTCAAGGTATAGTAATAAAATACTTTTAACATTTATCTTACAGGAGTTTTTAAATATAGTACTATTTGGAATCATTTTATTATTGCCCAGATAATGAAGACAGAAAAAATAAAAATTAAGTTGCAATTTTAAAACGTTAACTCTCTGTGTGTGTCTGTGTGTACAGTAAGTGTTAAGGACTAACTACATACTGCATAAAACATGTAAACAAAGTTCCTAAAATATTTTATTTTAATTGAGGAATGATTCAAAGAGTGGAAGAATAAAATTGTACCTCTGTTACTTATATCTGCATCATCTAAGATAGGTGGAGGCAACCCAGTGCCCTCCAGATGTCTTGGAGTACAACTTTTAACCATTACTAGTGCTGGCTGGGGCTAATGAGTGTTGTAACTGAAAACATTTGGATGGTCGTAGGTTGCATCCCTAAACTGATACATAGTTAGGCTACCTTTGGGATTATATCTCACCTGCATTTAAAGCCTTCAGCTTAGTTCTAAATTGTCATCATAGCATTAGAATGACTACAGAAATGTTGGTGCTCCTAGCAAGTTTAAACATGGGGCAGGGTTCAATATTTCTGTCATTTCTGTTGAACTAAGTGAGGCCCACTACTTGTTTAACAGGAACTAATGCTTCAGATAGTAATTCTGGAAAGGAGGTTTGTGTGTGTGTTTGTTTAGTTTTTCTATGCTGTCCAGAGTTGAAATGCTCATTTCTGGAATGGGACACTACAGTTGAGCTTCCTTCTGAAAGTTTCACTGACCTGCCTTCCTGTAGAAACAAACACTTTCATTAATGCCTGATTGCTGTGGGATCTACTAGTTTCCTGTTATTAAGCTAATGGTGGGTTCTGCTGGTATGTAGAGGCCACATTGGATGCTACCCCTTATTTCCATTTTGCTATGTCCAAAATGCAATATCATATTAGTATAGAGTTAAATTACTTCCCCCACCCCAAAACCACAGAACATAATTGCTGTTATTCCCTTATTCCTGTTTCTTAATGACTCAAACATTTGGCAGCAAAATGGACAAGCGAGCAACATAGTAGACTAAATGCGATAGAGTTTCAGTTATATTCCTAGAGATAACTTATAACGGTTCCTATGAACACATCTGTTCAGTTCATAGCACATTTCCTGTACCTTACTGAGGGAAATTTCTGACCTGGATTCATAAGAAACATTAGGGGGGGTTTCTTCAATATTTGCAAGTCAAGTACTGTTGGTTTTCCAATAATAAACCAAGTCCTGGCTTGTTGCATTCACGGGCATTTACATTGGATCCAGATGTTGTCTCCAACTTGTGATTCTTCCATGATCAATTGCAACTTATTCCATATTTTTCCCTAATGCTAAATTCCTGTTAACGTGAAGAAGACAGAATAGTTGCACATTACCTTCAAATTGCTAAAAGCCTTGTATCACCCCCTGACTATTGCAAGCCTCACACTGAATGGTGCCAGTAGTTCTGATGGTCTTATGAATCAGGCTCAAGATGGAAATTATTATAGTACTTAATTATAGCAAGTGCCGATGTACCCTAATTAAGTACTATATTTATTGTATATAATTATTGTATAATTATAGTATAATAATAATAATATGGCCACATCACTGAAGTCTATAACAGTTAATAGTTAAACACTGCAAACCTTTGGTGTTCTCGCAGCACAGCCTGGGGACGCTCTGGGTTACTTTGAGCTATGAAAGAACAGTGGCCCAAAAAAGACAGGACAACTGCATGTTCAGATGTAGGAGTTCTAAGTCCACATCACAAAACCAAATTAATTTGGATCAGCAGAATTTGTTATGAAGGTGAAGTGTCATGTATTTCTGTATATCAATCTTACTATGACAATGTTTGCATATTTCCCAATATTTTTTAGTTTATGAAGAGAACATTCTCTATGTCTGGAAGAAACAATTACTGTGTCCTAGGTTCTAATTAAATGAGAGCGTAAACTGCTTTTGGAGGGTGTATGACTGGATGCAAGCAAAATCACATCACACTTCAGGGCATGGTGATAGACACCGTTTCCAGGGTGGATGCATCAGGGTGTTTTAGAAGTTCTCTTTCCAACATCTGCACATCATAGTGGTGTCCTGAATATCATGGGACATTTTCTTGCCCTTAACTTGCAGTATGTGTATGAATGGAAGATGGGAATTGTGAGCCATGTACCCCTCTGGCTATAGCTGGAGGGAAAGGTCACCAGTTTCCTGTGGAGTGCCTTAGAGCTGTTTCCTTCTCAGTCTCCCCCTTTATGTGAGGCTGTTTTGCCCCATTTCTGGGTAGTCCCTTACCAGCATACCTTATGCCAGGTGAAGCTATTTATTTGGGGTATTACAGTGGGAGTGCCTTGCTCCCAAGCCAGTTAACAGAGCAGTGAACCAGCTGGCTACTATCTGGCCATTTCCTCCATGATTTTTTCTCTCTTTGGCCCCCGCCTTCTGTTTCCTCCCCATGTGATGGTCCTGCTTGTATCTGCAAGGTGGAAGTGCCCCTGAGCTATAAAGCTGAACAGAGCACAGTAGTAACAGCTCAGGAAGAACAAGTTGTTAACTTGCTTCCACAATGAAGATTAATGGTTTGAGTTTACAAAAAATTTGATGGACCAGGCTTGCAGTCTCAAATTTTGTGCCTCAATTTAAAGGGGTAAGTGACAAGCATGCCAGTGTAGTTTCAGTCACCACCTGCCAACCCTTGTTCCCCTGCCCCCCAGGGCCAAAATGCCATTAAGGAAGCCACCTTTGAAAATTAGGAACTCCAGAACCAGTTTTCTGGACTGTAGCTCTTCAGTGTATTTAAAATGCAGACCCTTCTCACAGAAATGGGAAGAAACCTGGTGTGTGTTCCTATGCATACTTACATAGATGTAGGTCCCACCATGTCTCATGGGACTTACTCCATATTGAGTAGTTTTAAGTTGCCCTATGCACTTTTTAAAAGACTCAAATCAATTCAGGCTGCCTTTCTGAGTATTACGCATGTAAGGTTGTGAATAAACTGGGAACTTTTATAATCCCATTCTTATAGCAGACAGAAAAAGCAGAACATCACAGAAGACTGCTGAAAAGAGCTCACTTTTTCAGTTTTATGAACTTTTCTTGCTAATCTAAAACAGCTTTATATAATGGGCAATAAAAAGGAACATATTTTTGAATTCAGAATTCCAGACAAAAAGGCCCTTTCTCTTTCTCACAGACTAGGCAAATGTAAATGGTTTCACGGAGCATTGAAATGTATTTGCAGATCCTAGAATAGTCACATGGGATTTTTATCTTATGATTATATGGCAGAATTTCAGGGTTGAGATTGTTTTTACAGCTGAAAAAGAACTGCATAACACAATACATTTGGAATCCTGCCCAGAGCTTTGGTTTGTCTGTGTTGCTTGCATGTGTAAGCTTTCAGTTTTGTTCCTATATCCTCTAAGATGATAGAGGTGCATAGTGCAACCCTATGCACTGCAAATGTTTTTCATTACAGTACTTATAATCCCTGATCATTGTCTGTGCTGTCTGGAGCTGATGGGAACTGTAGTCCAACACATCTGGAGGGCACCAGCTTGCTTATTCCTGTACTAAGAGCAAAGAAACCATAGCAGGTGGGCGTAGGGGAAGTGAGAACAAAAAAAATCCATTAAGGAAATCCTTGCCTTGCTGAAAAGGAATGCCCTAGCATTCTCTAAATATAACAAATGCAGATTTTTAATTCTCAAGCTCTCAGTCCAAAATTGTCATAAACTGTAAACCAAAGTCAGCTTAAATGTATGCATTCTTTTTGGTTTGCAGTTTGTGGGCTCTCATTCCAAGAATGTAATATGGAATTATATTAGGAAACAGTCTTTGGAGAGCCCTAAAGAATGAGAAACTGTTCAAAGGTGCCAGGTGCCTACTGTTTTCACCAAGCAGATACCATGCTCATATTCCTTTCCCTTTCTAGGCATTCTTCTACTTTCAGAGCCTGCCCTGAAGGGAGAAAAATGTCTGGAATAAGGAGCACAACCTTTTTGCGGGGGAGATAGTGATAGGGAGTTGCCTATGTTTGTGCAACACCAAAGTGGCATTTGGTTAGTGCTGTGATGACAACATAGAAAATCTCCTGGGCTCTGCACCAGTGGATGACCTTCCTGTGCAGCATTATGTGATGGGATTGGGCTGGCCCTGTTTTCAAGTGTGTGTGTATTGCTGCGAAGATAAATTGATCGTGTATGATGGTTAGATTTTAGCTTGAAGCTAGCATCATCTCAGGTAACTTAGTAGTAAAGACATGGAGTAGCTGAATTCCTAACACAGATCAAAATGGTGACTATGAAAGGTCTTCTTTAAATATGGTTGTGGAAGGGTTATTTTGCTTTGATATAGAACATAGAAAAAACACTCTGTAACCAGTGTAATTTTTGCCCCTAGTCAGGAGACAGAAGTTATTTCTTAAATCAAGTTGTTGTAGTTTTTGAATTTAAAAAAATAGGGAAATAAGTTTGGATGAGGACAAAGAATTTGAAACTTAATCTACACAAGATGGAGGTACTCCATCCTTCCTCACAAGTACACAGTTTGCAGATTCTCTGGACTCCCAACGTTTTTTCAGGATGTCCGGGTGACATCAGTGAGTAGGACTTTCTTTTATAAACTGGTCTGCCCACTGTTCTGACCAGGGAAGGCTAACCTAGTCCTTGTTACTCATGCATTGGTTAGAGAACATGAGCACAGCCATGCTGGATTGGGGCAAGGGTCCATCTAGTCCAGCTTACTGTGGGAAACCTAGTTACATCCAGGTTGGACTTCTGGAGTACTCTCTGGTGGGGCTGCCTTTATAGACTATTCAGAAACTTTAATTGATTCATAATGCTTGTAGCAAATAATGATCATATGTGCACCTGGAAAGCCCTTCTTGGTAGAAGCACTGCAGTTATGGAATGTCCTTTTCTGGATTATATTTGAAATCCTTTCAATTCTACTTTTTATAATTGGGTTTATTGGACTTTTTTCCTTCTG